GTCATCCAATGCCGTCCTCCATCGGTGAGGTCTCCCTGGCGGTTTGCCAGGTCGCGGAGGGGCTGCGCTCACTCAAGAGGGCTTACGACGCCCAGGACGACGCGCGCTGCCGCGAGCTCCTCGCCGCCCTTCAGACACGGCTGATTGCCCTTCCAACTTTCCTCAACCCGACCGCGGCGAGCCCGAGCCGGGGCGAGGAGCTCCACCTCGCGCGGGAGGTCCTTGAGCTTGGCGTGCTCGTGAGCGCTCGAGGGAAGGACCTCGCGGCCTTTGACCGCCACTTCGCCCAGCTACAAGTTTACGATGAGGCGGGACCCCCGGCCGACCCCCCACGCCGCGCGACGCTGCTCGGGTTGAACCTCCTCCGTCTGCTCGTGGGCAGCCGCGTCGCGCAATTCCACGCGGAGCTCGAGCGGCTCCCCGCGGGGCCCATCGCCGCCAGCCCCGCCGTCCGCTTCGCCGCGCAGCTCGAGCGGTACCTGATGGAGGGTAGCTATAACAAGCTGCTGACAGCGCGTCGACAGGCCCCCGCGAACGAGTTCTTGCCTGTCGTCGAGATGCTCGAGTCGACTGTCCGCGCCGAGGTCGCGAACTGCATCCCGCACGCCTACCACGAGCTCTCCATCGCCGCCGCCCAGACAATCCTGATGCTTCGCTCCCCAAATGAAGTCCGTGCCATCGGCCGCGAGCACGGCTGGAATCTTGCCCCGGACGGAAAGGGCTTCGTTTTTATCCGAGAGGAGGATATTGCGAAGAAGGAAATCCCCTTTAAAGAAATGATTAATGAACACATCCAATTTGCGGCTGAATTGCAAAAAATTGTTTGAAGGTAGGGGAAAAGAAATGTATAGGGGGGGAAGGAGTGCAGTCAATTTAACTCCCTCTCCTCCCCCCCAAAAAAACAGACATTAAAGTCAAGAATCTCTGGAAATAAAAATTTACGATTTGTTGATGGTAGGTCAATTTCAAGCTTGCCATTATCCCTTCACTTTTATCTTTATAATGCAGTCGACGTGGTTATGGGGTATTTTTTGATATAGTAGAAATTTTCCTATGCCTCCTATAATGATAAATGTGGAAATGCTAGCCAGAGCTTTTTTTTTACCACTGTGTGTGGCTGTGTAAACTTCTCTGCAATGATTAACATTTTATTGGTATTATTATTACTTATTATTCTATGTTACCTTCCCATGTTTAGAGGAAAACGCTTATTTATTTCTGTGGTTTTGTTTTACAGTAAAACAACTCCGATAAAAGGGAGTTGAGGGGATATTCTACAAACACCAATATATATATATATATAAGTTTTTCTTATTTGCTGTTTTGAATAGTCTAGCTTTTAAAAGGTAAACAAATAAATGAAGATCACCAAGCGGCCTCCGGCGGAGCTTATTATTAAAAGGCCAGATGGCACGGAAAGCCGTTTTGTGCGCCGCGTTAAAACCGTGAAATCCGTCACTCCAGTACTTAGCGTGAGTGAGGACGATGAGGATTATCAAAGGGTGGTGAACACCCCGCTGTACACCACCAGCTTCAACATTTTACTCCAACAACGGAACCCCGTGAAGAGCCCGACGCGGTTTGTCAAACTCATCTACCAGCGCATGCGGGTGGAGGGGGTTCCGCTCGACACCACGACCTACAACTTGCTCATAAAGTACGTCGTGAGCTTGACCGATAACCTCGTTTTTGAGCTTTACGAAGACCTGAAAGCGGAGGGCCTGAAGGAGAACAGCAGCGTTCGGCCAAATATCGAGACTTTTCGCCTTTTGTTCTGCGCGTGCGAGCGGAATGCGGAGTATCACCGCGCCTTTTTGTTCTGCCAGCAGATGACGGAGCTCTTCGGGATCATCCCGGATCGCTCGCTGTGCAATACGTTGTTGGGGTTTTGCGCGGCCGTGCAGGACGTCGCGCAGGCGACTTATTTTATGGAGATCATGAAGGAGCATCACGTCCTGCCGGATGTCAATACCTACAATTGCTTTATTAGCGTCCTGGCGGGGTCCGCGCCGTACACGGAAATTACACGGGTCTTCCATGAGATGTGCGAAAGCGGGACGAAGCCGACGAAGCGGACGTATAATACGATGCTCAAGGCGGCTCGATTCCACGACGACTACGATGGCGCCTTCCAGCTCTTTGAAGAGATGAAAAAAAAAGGGTTTATTCCGGATATTATCACATATAATTTGCTTTTGTGGGTATGCCTACAGCGGCTGGATTACATTTTAGGGTGCGGTAAGTACGCTCACATCTACCGAACGATTGAGCAACATCGAAATGGGTTAAAATACCTGGCTGAGCTTGTTCTCGCCCTTTGGGCTGAAATGGACGCGATTCAAGTCATGCCGAATACCTTTAGCGTTAACAAGATATTAGACATTTTGTTGAAGTGTGGGGATGTACGACTTTTTAAGATTTACCAAAGGGTTAGCGCGAACTATCCGGAGGTGGTAACGAAGGAAAGGGGTAAATCAATTGAAAAAGCACACCTTCAACCAAAGCGTAGTACTAGCACGAATAATATGAAGAATAGAGAAAGGATATCCCCAACCCAAGAACGACCAAAAAAATCTGCCATGAAGGAGATCGACGAGGCGATGTGTGAGGAATATTTTCAAAAAGAAGGCTATATTTCCGCGCGCCTCTCTCAGCCTAATTTAGTAACCTACAAAATCATTATAAAAGCGTGTCTGAAGTTCGGCTTTTTGGATCAGCCGGCGGTTCATTATTCAAAATTTAAAAAGCATAATCTAAAAATCGATAAGGAACTGATTACGCTGCTCTGGGAGGTTTGTGTACAAACGAAAGATAAGCCTTGGGCCAATGCTTTATTAGAAGAAGTGCACCAATGCCGCCTCCTTATAGATGTTGTGTTTTATAACAAATATCTGGAGGTTCTTTTAGCAGTGAACGACGAAGAATTTTACACCATTACGGAGGGTATGAAAGGAAAGGTAAATGATCTCGGAGTAAAGGCGGATATACGAACCTACAACCTCATTCTTATAAGCTATATCAAGCGCAAGCAACCAGAGCTTGGGTTACGTTTATTTCACGAGGAAATGTGCGGAATTCATTCCTCGGTTCACACCGATGACGAAAGCTATTGTTTAGTTTTGGAGCTTTACAACATTATGCAGGATATGAATTTGGCGACGAAGCTTATTGAGGATTGCTTAGACGCTAATGTTAAGCTTTCAATTAGAGTATTTGAGGAGCTCCTTCGCATTTACTCTGAAAATAAAGATGAACGTATTGAGGATTGGTTTAATCGTCTCAATCAACAACGCAACGAGAGGACTTCCTCTGCAGAGCCACCGAATCCGCTGATTCCGATGATCAGCCTAAAATGCTTTTCGATCATGATCACGTACTACTATACTTCTGGGAATCAAAAATTTGTAAAGAAGCTTTTCCACAAATTAAAAATGCACCACGCGTTAGAGCCGGATGAATCCATTTATAGTATTCTTTTCAAAACTTATGGAGTGAATAAAGATACGAAAGCGATGATATCTGCCTTTGAAGAGGCTCGTATCAACGGCATTCTCCTGGATTCGATGATGTATAATACAATCTTAGCACCCTTTTTGGAATTCAAGGATCCTTTTGTGTATGAGGTTCTTTCCGATATGAAATCTAATGGTGTGCAGGCGGAAAAGAGCACTTTCGCGCTCTTTTTGAATTCGAGCACCGGGAGAGAGATGCTGAAGATTGCCATTGAAAAAGAACTATTTCTTCAGCCTGATTTAGATATAATCGAGGTGTTATAAATTCTATCGCCTTATTCGTTACATCTGTTGTATATTTACTGAAAAAGAGTTTTTACTGTTTTTTTTGCTATAATTTTCCTTTGCAGTCTTGTAAATACACATTCGCTCATGCATGAATCTATGTAAACCACAATTACCAAAGTTGTTCGGTAAGTAAACAACCTGAACTTGAGATTTTTTTGTTTGAAAAAAGGGTTCTTTATATACTTGATCCTGTACTTTTTATTTCTCAAACGTCTGTTCTTTCTATTTCAGGATTATTATTATTATTGTTATGGTTGACGATGATATCTACGCTAATTAGACCCCTCCCGGAGTCATTACAATATGGGTCATATCGCTCTACTATCATTCCTTTATCTCTTTCTTATGTTTTTTGGGTTTAAAACAAGTCCAAGGTCTATTTCCGTTATTGCCCTGAGTCTTGTGCTCAGGATCCTCCATTTATACTACCCCCATTTACACGTGAGTGAGTTATTTTCCTTGCTATATGAAGGATCCCACGGATTATGTTTCCTTGCCTGGTTTACGAACCCGCACGGTAACCCATCGTGAGGTGCAGACGGAGGCTTCGTTTGTTCCGAGCTGTGTGGATTTGAGGTACGCCTACGAGCAGCAAGCCTGCGAGCAGTTCACGCAGCTCCGTGAATTACGGCAAATAATCGAAAGCGCCATGCGCCAGCTCGCCGGAAATGTGTATGATATTGTAGGCTTCAAAGATGTCATGTTTAAACATGAAGAGGAATTACCAACAAGCTTGCCGGTTACCGATATGCTTTTGCTCACCTCCAAGCTCTACCGCACAACGTGTGAGATCGGGCGCATGCTCGGCTGCTTTTTTGGTGTCGTCTTCGCTGACGATCACTCCGATGAGCATTTTCATTTTATGGAAGTTCGTCTTCTGCAAAAAGAGCTTACACAGCTGAAAAAACAACTGAAAGAATCCGAAGAGGAGCGAATGCAGCTTCAGCAGACTTTGAAGAATGTCGGGCAGCTCGCGTTAAATCACGGGAAGGCGGTAGAAGTTCTTGAAGGCCATAACAGCGCGCTAAAGCTTCAAACGAGCGCTTTGGAAGATCAAATGGCGCTCTTATTTCAGCAGCTCAACACGGATCTCGAGACGAATTACAAAGAAAACTTCAATTCTGTAATGATGGAGATGAAACGGCAGGAATGCCTCAGCTCGGCTCGCATGACGTTTCGCCAGACGATGGAGAATCTTTGCGAGCAGCTTCGTGGTGCGCGGGGGCTTGTCACGGATGTCCGCAACACCTTCACCTCGTGCAATCAGGGCACGCGGACGGGCGAGGCCTTCCTCGCGGTGGGGCCGACCATTCGCTACAAGCTCAAGACCCTCGACAGCAGCCTCCAGCAGTTCTTCCTCCGCTTCAACGCGATGAAGGACACGGTGGCGGAGACGACGCAGGAGCTCTTCGGCGCCCTGCACGAGCGCAAGCGCATCCTGCACCTCTCCCTGCAGCACATCCGGCTCTACGACCTGCAGAGCACGAAGTTCCGCACCGCGAAGGCGATCCTGAGCAAACTGAGCGGGACCTCCGCGGCGCTGCTGCGGCGGCTGCAGGTGACCTTCCCGGGCGGCGCCATCACCTCCGTGGACCGCATCGGCCTCATCGTGACGCGGCAGTGGCACGGCGGCTACACCCTCGCCTCGCTGCAGCGCCAGAAGGGCGAGGCCGCGGCCCCCCCCCCCCCCCCCTCCAGCAGCCGCCACAACAGTAACAGCATCAGCACCATCAGCGGGGCCTCCGTCGGGAGCCTGGCCCCCCTCCCCCACGCCCCGTCCTTCAGCGAGGACTCGGCCAAGGCGACGATGCCGGGCTTCACCGAGGCCGAGCGCATGGCCGCCGAGAGCGAGCTCGCGGCGCTGGGCGACACTACCGTCCTTAGTCAGATCGGGCCCGGGTTGGACGGCGGGGGCGCCGGCTACCCGCTGAGGCCCCCCACGCGCGAAATGGCTAGTATGGGCGATCGAATAGGGGGAGGGCTTAGCGCGAGTATTAGCAACGCGCGAGGAATGGAGACGGCGCAATCGTTTTACACCCAACTTCCTCAACGTCACGGCGTGTCGCCGCCTCATAGTGGCGAAGACGCAGAGCCTTTTACCAATATGCAGGCAATGTTTGGCTTATTTCATGAGATCGGTAGTGACATTGAGGCGATTCAAGAAGCTCTAACCTTGCAGGATGAAATGTCAGCCTTCCTCAAAACACTCACCCTTTCCATCCCTACTACCGAGCGTAAGGATCCCATTGTGAGTACTAACGAGCTTGCCTCGAAGTTTATGGCGAGTTCAGATAATCCGAGCGGGTATAACTTTATTGAACACTACGAAGGGGTCTTTGAAAATGCGCTTATCCCAACGGCGGCCAATTATGGAGGCACATCTCCACAACAGCAATCCAGCCTTTCCGAGGTGGGAGAAAGCGATGCTTGGAATAAAGATGGATCGCGAGACGGTTTAGAAGCCGTGACAGCACGCAGCGGATTAGGTTCTGTCGAAAAGGTGCCGTTGACAAGCAAAGAATTGAAACATTCCGCAGTAGAAAAGGCTCAGGCGAACTCGATGCTTGCTAGACAAGCGCAACAGCTGCAATACCAGCAAGAAGTTCTGTCCAAGATGCAGGAGGACTTCTCTCTGAAGCTTGACTTTTTACGTCAGGTTTACGAGGGTCGGATCACGGATTTAGAAGTCAAGGAATCCTCAATAGAGAAAACCTGGACGAATTTCGGCAAGCCGCTAGGGGATTCGATCAACACTCGGATAGGCAGTATAAGCAGCATTCAATCCTCCTCAGCCCCGAGGCAGCGGAACTCCATCATGATGGATTCGGAAAAAACAATATTGACCGGTAATGGCCAATCATCCAACCGAAGGACCCCTCTCCCGTTGTCTTCAACGGGCGATTATAAAAAACTCAACAAGGAGAAGGTGGTTGCGACGCGCCGGGCGTGGCAGGAGAACACGAAGAAGGTTGCATCAACGGAGAAGTTGCGAAAGGCAACGATGGATGCCTTGGATCGGGTTGAGCAACGAACGAAGGAGAGTTCTCTACGGAAACAGGCAAAGGGGGATTTTTGAAGCGAAGCCCTTTTTGCTACCTTGTTTCCCTTTTTTTTCTCTCATAACATTTAGTGTAGTTATTATTATTTATTGGCTTAGCAATGTAAATTCCACCTTGTTTTTGATTGTTACTTTTTCTTAATGCTGTATTATACTTCTCGGCGAGGAGGTTAGTCTTCTGAATGGAACCGTAATATTCACATGTACCCATTATACCACAACGCAAAAAGATCTATACCAGATACCTATAGTAGATGAATAAACTCTTAGCTCTGATTCCATATGGAAAAGTGGAAGGATATTTTAAGGTTTTACTATGTAGTTGCGTTATCCTTTCTTTGTGTGTGGTTGATTCTTGTGTTATGATCAATTCAGAGAAGCTCTACTAAACTTCTTTTGTTCCCCAATAACAATCATAATGTTAACGAAGTCAACTTATTCAATTTGAAACGGTATCTTCAAATCTCTCTTTATCTTTTTCACAAATTCCATAATTCTTCCTTATTTTTCCCTATTTATTTCTTGGGCTCGAGAATTGTACTCAATATCTTACTATGATCTTTTGTGGGGGTAGAAGGAGAAGGGGGGAGGGGTTATTTTTTTCGCGCTTGAAAAAAATAATCCAGTCTCGTGTTCGCGTGTATATGCCCATCCAATGGTTTCCAGTACATACAGTAAGCGTTACATAAAATACTGCACGTTTTAAGCAGGCTATTGGGATCCCAATTACTTTTAATTCATTTCTTTGCTTTTTTTTTTCCACCCTACTTTCTATTTTTCATTAGCTTGATTGTTTCTCCTTTCCATCTAGAGATCATCCATGGGCGTGTATCGATCCGCGGCGGATGAGGAGGCTTTTAAGCGGATCATCTCCGCTGATCCGGAGTGCAAACGCTGCTTTGAGTGCGGGGCGACCAACCCACAGTGGTGTGGGGTTAAACACGGGATTTTCCTCTGCTTGGAGTGCAGTGGGGTGCATCGGAGCCTTGGGGTCCATCTTTCCTTCGTGCGAAGCTCCACAATGGATAGCTGGTGTGATTGGCAGCCGGAGAAGCTCCGTCAAATGCAGCTTGGCGGCAATCGGCGGGCGCGACTCTATTTCGAAACCTCAAGGGTCCCTGAGCGGCCGATTAAGGCGCGTTATGAATCCCTGGCGGCTCTGAAGTACATGTCAATGCTCGAGGCGGAGGCTCTGGGGAAGCCCTTTAATGAGGCCACCTGGCGCCCACCTTCGTGGTTTACGCAAACCCATCAAGGCAATAATAGTACAACAAATTTTATGGGAAATAATCCCACAAAAGGCTTCGACAACGAGAGGGTAATACGCGCCCCACAACAACATTATAAAATTGGTGATTTACGCGGTGACCGGGTCTCTTCAGCACCAGGGTGGGGAAATCGCAACTCGATGTCGAGCAATAATCCTAATTCTACTTCCAAGCCCCTTTCCGAAACGAGCGAACTTCTGAGTGTCGTGAACTCAGGATGGAGTCTCTTGATGAACAAAGGCACGACGATTGCCAATTCCGCCTCGGATGCACTCAAAGGCGCGGAGTTAAACAGCTTTAAAGACTCCCTTTCGCGAGGTTGGATGGGGTTGTCCTCCGCCGTGACGAACTATGCGCAGGAGGTGCAGCGCAAGTTCAATGATCTCCAAGAACGAGATCCGGCGGACGGACTGACGGGGTTAGTTGAACACGCAAAGGACGCGGGTACGGGACCGGAGACCCTTCTCATGAGTCCGGGCCGCTTCGGTCATGTGGAATTCCATCCTTCCCAATCGCCCTCGTCGCCTTCACCGCGGACGGGGGGGGTGGCGGGGTGGTGCAGTCCTCTTCAAAAAGTTGATTCCCAGACGGCGCTTTCTAATCGAGTGGGAGGCGTCAAATCGAATGGGAATGTTTATAACCACAATTCTATGTATAATGATGAGTCTTCCTGGGGAAAGACGGTTGGCGTGCATGGCAAAAATGGAGTTTCTTCTAAAAATCAAGGTAAAGAGGCGCTTACTGAGAAGTTGATCAAAAAAAAAGATAACATTGATTGGAGCTGGGAAGACGATTAAAAGAATCCATAATTAAAGTACTAATCGTTCTTTTCAGGTTTATCGTGCCCTTAACTCTGTCGAAATAGAGTTTCATCTAGAAGAGATACTTCAGTGAGTTGAGCCCTTGACAATTAGATAATTAACTCGAGAGAACAAAAAGGTTCTGAGTAGGTAAGTGGGGCGCTTTTTTTACATGGATTATTTCATCGTTCTAAGATAATGGCGAAAGTGACATAACTATTACCATTGTATATATATATATATATATATATTATTTA